GAACAATGTGGAACAAAACTCAAAATCATTTGGAGAAAAAAAAAGGGGGGGGGGACCAGGTTTGCTGGTCCAATGGAGCCTGGTGGAACCACTGAGACTATGGCCCCTAGCTGCCCTTCAGGTCTGGAATTCAACCCACATCTGTGGCTTCCAGCCAAGCAAAGGATAGTTATACGAGTTGAACATTTACCTCAGATAGATACATCCTTGGAGAGAACAATCATGGGAGAAAGAAGAGCTGCTTATGTATCGGGAGACAGCTCGGGGGGCCGGAGTGCATGGAGGGATGCATACAGGGAGGAGGTAGCTATCAGGAGGAAGTGGGAGGGGAGTTGTTGCATTGTGGTAAGTTGTGGTCAATGTCATGAGACAAAGTATATGTGAACTGCTGTATGGAAAGTGAATTTGCTCTGTAAATTTTCACCCAAATCACAATTAAGAAATAAAATTCCCCAAGAAGAAGAATATTATACATGCATGCATCATCTGTGTGGGCAAGGAATGGAGACAGGACTTAGAAAAATAGTATTTATTAACTTGGACCATTACTTCTAGAAAATGTTCTCTTGACCTTGGTAACCCTGGAAACCAATATGACTGACTGATCTCCTGTTGAAATCAAGGTCATAAATACTTACTGAACAATTTCTGTATATTATAGACAGTATTGGGTGCCATTATCACATAAATGGAGAGAAGACTGAGGTTGTTAAAGATGTCATATTACTTGGATCCACAACTAACACTAATGGAAGCAGCAGTCAAGAAACTAAGGATGTACTGCACTGGGAAAATCTGCTGCAAAAGATCTCTTTAAAGTAGTGAAGAGCAACGATGTCTCTTTGAAGACTAAGGTGCAGCTAATCCAAGCCATGGTATTTTCAATTGCCTCATAAGCATGTGAAAGCTTATAAGGAACACCAAAGAAGTGCTGATGCTTTTGAGTGATGGTGTTGGCAAAGAACACTGAAAGTGTAAGAACTAACCAATTTGTCCTGGAAGAAGTACAGCTGGATACCCCTTGGATGTAAGAATGGCCACACTTTGTCTCACCTACTTTGGTCATGTTGTCAGAAGGGACTGCTCATTGTAGAACGATATCATGCTTGGTAATGTGGAGGGTCTGTGAAAAAGGGGAAGGCCCTTGAGGAGGTGGATTGACAAAGATTCAATGATAGGCTCAGGTACAGTAAGGACTGAGGCTACAGCAGGACCAAACAGTGTTTCATTCTGTTGTACACAGGGTCCCTACGAGACAGAGTCGACTTAACAGCACCTAACAACAACAACAACAACATTGGATGCCATGAGAGACACAAAGCTGTGTGTTACTCTCCACTCTCAAGAAATTCTTTTTTAATCTACTAGATGATGGCAATTTTTTAAGAATAAACCAAGGCAAACAGGGGGAGTACCAAAAGATAAATTTTTAAAAAACATGTCATGGAAACTCAAAGAAAGGTGACATCTCATTTTGGAAGACACAGTGTGAGCCTAGGGAGACAGAATTTCAAGAGAGAAAGGTGGAGGAAGGGTCCAATCAGATCTTTATTCCCAGAGGAAATAAAGCGTATGTTTGTCATCCTTTGTTTGTCATCACTGCATGACTGTAGAAATAACTCCTACCACTGATGAACCAGGTCACCTTGGTCAATAAACTACACCTCCAAATTACAACTAATTCATTGGTGAAAAAGAATTCATAATGATTATTTTATTTATCTCACAGAGTTACTGTAACTAATGAGAAGACCATGCAAAATCAATACATAAACTATAACCAAACCAAACCAAACTCACTGCTGTAGAGTCGTATCCGACTCATAGCGATGAGTTTCTGAGACAGTATCACTACGGAAGTAGATCGTCCAATCTTCCTTCCGAGGAGTGGCTGGTGGGTTTGAACTGCCAGTCTCTGGTTAGCAGTCAAATGCCTTAGGCACTACGCCACCAGAGCTCTGCACAAATTCTGAGGTGGGAAAATAACAGAGAGGGAAATGACCTGACATAAAGAAACAGGACAAAAAGGACACGTTCAAAATTCAGTTCTGTCATGGAGATCAAAGTTGTGCAAACTGTAAAGCCTCAATTTGAAATGTTTCCATTTCCAAAATTTCTTACAGTTTTTAGGATTACCAAAGGAACCATAAATAATTTGATGACTAAAAATAACATGAGGTGAACAGAAGAATCAAATTATAAAAACTTTAAAAGATGAATTATGCATGAAAGCATCTTTTATTTTTTTTTACTTAGCAAAATTATACTGACATGTTTTTCAGCCAATCTGGTAAATAGTTTGGCAGTTTCTTCCAAAACTAAAAATATACTTAACACATGAGTCAGCAATTGTATTCTTGGGCATTTATCCCAGAGAAATAAAAGCCTATGTTCACAAAAAAACTTTTAAGTTTATAACAATTTTAATTGTAATAGCCCAAAACGTGGGAAGATGCAAATGTCCTGAAATGGGTGGATGGTTAAACAAACTGTGGGATACCACCCAGCAATAAAAAGGAACAACTCACATCACTGATGCATGTGACAATTTGAATGGAACGCAAGGAAACTATGCTAAGTGACAGTAGCCAATTTGGAAAGGTGACATACTCTAACATTCTTGAAGTACGAAATTATAGAGTTAGAGAACAGATTAGTGGCTGCCAATGGTTAGGAGAGTGTGGGTATGGCATTAAAGGGTAGCATCAGAGAACCATGTGGTACAGGTATTCTCTGCTTTTCAAAAGTTCGCTTTATGTGATTTCACTTTTACAAAATACCTCTATTAGTACCTGCTTCACCAACCAAAAGGAGCTCTGGTGGCACAGTACCTAAGGCATCTGACTGCTAACCAGAAGGCTGTTGGTTCAAACCTACCAGCTGCTCTCCAGAAGGAAGATGAGGCAATCTATTTCTGTAAAGATTTACTGCCTTGGAAACCCAACAGTGGTTGCTATGAGTTGGAATTGATTCAATGGCAGTGGGTTTGGTTTATTACTTTGGTTTCACCAACCAAAAGAATTCCGAAGTAGACTTTCACTTTTACAAAAAAAGGCAAAAAGTTAAACTAGTGTTCAGCATCTGCTTTGTAACAAGCCATTCAAGAGGCAACATGCATCCCAAAGTAACATTCACCCTGAACAGAGAGAGTGGTGTCACCAAGCCGTACACATTATATTATTTTAGGTTTTATGTGTTATTTGGTATGATTTGATAGGTTATGCTTTTGAGTCTGGGAATGCTCAAAATTTTTCTCATATAAATTAGTGATACTCGCTTGTCTGGTTTACAGCAGACTGGCTTATGAAAGGATTCACAGAAATATTCTACTTTCAGGTAGCAGGCGAAACCTGTAATAGTTATATCAAGATACACTTATATGTGATATAATTGTATAGAACTACACACACAAATGAGTACATATATAACATGAAAGCTGAATAAACTCTTACGTCAATGTTCTGGTTATAATATCGTATTATTGTTATGAAAGTGATCAAAATTGGGAAAATGGCTGAAGAGTGTAAGAGACCTCCTTGTACATTTCTTTGGAATGTTTCTTGAATTGCAAGATAAAATGTAAAAAAAAAAAAAGATATATTGCCATTTTTTCAAAATAGATGATGCTCATACTGCTAAAGGCATCATGAAAGTACCCACTGTTGGCAATATAGTGAATTGCCACAATACCCTGTGGAAAATGATTTTATAACATATCTGGAGTGATAAAAGTTGTGAGTTCTTTGATCAAGCGATCTAATTCCTGGGAATCACCTAAAAAAAAACACACCAAATACAGAAATATACATACACACATATGTAAAGATGCTACTATGGAGCCGTGGTGGCACAATGATTAAGATCAGTGGCTCTGTGGGAGAAAAGACTTGGCGTTTTCTCTTGTAAAGATCACAGCCTACGAAACCTATGGGGCAAGTCTACCCTGTCATACATGGTCGCTATCAGTCAGAATCAATTCAACAGCACTCAACAACAACAAATATATTACTGCAGTATAATATACATCAGAGAAAAACTGAATGCAACCTAGATGTGTGAGAACATGTTATGGAATATTATATGCAGCCATTGATAACAGTATAAAATATAGCAAAAACACATAAAAGAATAAAGCAAAATTCAAAAGTCTACTTAAAACATGCATATAAAATAACCAGAAATTCACAAAAATAAAAGAATTATGATTTTTCTTCCCAATCTTTCTAACAGAGTTGTCATATTATTTTCATACTTAAAGAAATAAGTATACTTTTACCTTATCCCAGAAATCAACCAAAGCTGTAAAGTCCCATTTCTTAGAATATGCCACATTGTATTTCAGTATAGCATCCTATGGAAAAAGCATAAGTAAAATTTCATGATACAGCCAAGTAAAATATAATGAATAGCCTATTTTCCTTTATGAACTACTTCCAGTAAATTTCTTAATGGTGGACAAGCTTTCTCCTATACTTAACTACATGATATCAGTAGTTACAGACATGTAGAATGCACATTAATGTATTATTTGCTTTAAAAAAAAAAATGAATTAGAAAGGTCAAGTAATAGGTGTAAAAACATTATAACTGTACTAAAGCATGCGTTCTCACTGAGGATGATATTACTCCAAGCAGGTAAATATTGGTTGGTGTGAGATATTAAAAAAAAAAACTTAGTACAACGTACTCCAAAGGCTTATACTATATATACAGATATACAGTACATCTGTAGTAGTAAAATTTCATGGGAGGGGGAGGGACAATTAGAATAAATATGCTTAAAAAGGCTCCTATGGAAGAGAGCAATAATGAAAGAAAGATTGTAAAACATGTCCCTAAGGCATAAAATGGGTCAGTTTTGCTGTTTTATTATCAGCTATTGTTGCTGTTGTTGTTGTTATGTGCCATCGAGTCAGACTCGACTCACAGCGACCCCTCCTTCAGTTTCCGAGGCAGTCAGTATCACTACGGAAGTAGATTGCTCCATCTTCCTTCCGAGCAGTGGCTGGTGGGTTTGAACTGCCAGCCTTCTGATTAGCAGTCAAGTGCCTTAAGCACTATGCTACCAGAGCTCCCCAGCTATTGTTATCAGCTACATAGAAACAGTCATTATCCATCAGCAGTTCACATCCATTACTATTTATGTAGAAGAGAAAAGTCAAAATAGTGTGCCATCTACTGGTGTTTCATTTGAACAAGCAGTAATACAGACTTGGTTTCCAGAGTGAGGTAATAAGCTTAAGACAAACGATTAGCTGTGCAGAGAGCGCTATTATTTATCATTACATTTGATCTCACCCTTTTTAATTTCTACTTTGATAATACTTCTTATCTTACATATTATATTAATAAAATAACAAACATGGAGAATTTACCAACAACTATTTTTACTAGCAATGCACACTTGAATATTTTTTTACTGAAGTCATAAACAAGTCTGAAAATCACTGTTAGAATATTACTATAAGCCTTCCAAACTTCCTTATCATTGATAATGTTTTTAAAAACTAATATTCTTCCAAAGATCTTCCTGACAAACACTACATTCCATAAAAATAATCACCAAGCATCTAGGTTCTTTTTTTTAAGAAAAAATTCTACCAAAATGTGTATTAATTACTTGGAATTAGAGACTATTCAAATTCTTTCAGAAAGGAAAAGAAAAACTATCAACCATAAAATAACACCCCAAGAAAAAGCTTTTATTTTTTTCTCACAAGCATACAGTAGAAGTTTCCATTAAGAACCAAAAGATATTAAGTAATTTTTCCTAATCCCTGGTGTCTGATCTGAGGACTTCACATAAAATATTAAACAGCAATGTCCATTAACAGGCAAATGGATAAACAATGCATGCACTTGAATTTACTACTCAGCAATAAAAAGGAATGAACTACTTATATACTCAACATGGGGTATATCTTCATTCTGAGTGAAAGAAGCCAGATACAATAGCATACATACTATGTCAAAACTAATACAGTAAAAAAATGCAGATCCATAGTTGCCTGGGGCCAGTACAGAAAAAGGGATGATGGACTATAAAGTGACAAGAGGAATCTTTAGTGGGTTTCACAGATGTATGCGACAGTCAAAACTCATCAAATTGTATATACATTTCCAAAGGAAATTTCCTTGTCAAAGTTTACAAGGAAAAACATTTTAAATAGAATTTGAACTCTAGTTCTTTAATGGGGTTTTATAATTATCATTAACTCCTAACTAGTATTTATTTTTATATCAGTCTTCAAGTCTCAAAGTAGCCTACCGTGCAGTCTCCTGTCATTAGAAACACTGAGGAGTCTTCTTTCAGTTCATAAATCATAAGCACAATTGATTAAAGCACAAATAAGTCCATTCTATACAAATTAAGACATATCATTTATAGAAATATTACTGTTTAAATCAACTTTGAGGACACTGTTTTCTCCTTAAATTTTGAAGGGGTCTAACCCCCTCTTTATCTAATACCATATGGAATATAAACAGCAAAAATGCCATTATATTCAGTAAGAGAGATTTAAGGTTTCCCACTCCCTCTCTCAGCAAAGGAAACAATTACCATAAGCAGAAAAAAAAAGAAGAAAATCTAGATGGATTACTCTCTTCTGTTGAATCTACCATAAAATAAACCATAAAGAGAAATTCAGATTAAAGCAATTACCCCTTCTGAAATTAATTATGGGGTTTTAAGGAATAGCTCAAAGAGGTAAGCTAACTATAGAATTTAGAAAAATATGATTATTCGTTTATGCTTTAAGAAAAAAACATAAAATTTTTTTTTTAAGTAAATGCTGTTTATAAGGCCATAAAGACCCTAAGACAGTGCTTCTCAAAGTCTGGGTAGTATTTTAAGGTGGCCTGCTTTTGGATTTGTGAGTTTATAACTGTGGTTTTAGAAAACAAAGGGTAAAAGACAATGCACTGTAGGAATAAAGAACAGGTACTTAAAATAGATAAAAATGGTGAAAATACTAAGCTATCATAATATATAATACAGTACAAGTATGTCAAGGAACTCTGGTGGTGCAATGGTTGAGTGTTCAACTGCTAACCAAAAGGTCAGAGGTACAAACCCACCAGCAACTCTGTGGGAGAAAAGACCAGGTGATTTGCTCCCATAAAGATTACAGCCCAGGAAACCTTTTGAAGCAGTTCTACTCTGTCATGTAAGGTCACCATGAGTCAGAATCAACAGCACACAACAACAATACATAAGTACATCAAATTCTAAAGAGCTGGATCAAAGCGGACAGTATCCTATTTATTTGTTAGCTGATGTACTACATATAGATCATATCTTACATATGATTAGCAACAAAAGTGATAAGTACAAACAATTTTTTCTTTGTATTATTTTTTTAAAAATTCTCAGGACACTACCTTGAGATTTGAACTGTTAAAAAGAACTTCTACCGCAAAAAAAAAGGAATATTGAGCAAAAACTATGCTCCCTGTGACAATGAACACAAATCAAATGTCAGTTCATCATGCTTAAAACTGAAAATATCAAAACAAGACAGCTGTATAAGCACTATAAGCAGAAGGAGCTTGTATTTAGTTTTATGCTTGTATACAGATAATTAACGTACTAAAAATAAGTAAACCCCGACAGACCTTGAGAATTGTTTTCTCCATTTAAAGAACTATTACAAGGTGAGAAGTACTTTTGCTAGGGAATAAAACATGGTACAATATATCAATGTTTTTCATGTAAACAAACAAAAATGAAGATACAGAAAGGTGTAAGTATAGGTGGAAAACACTACAAAACCCAAGACACTATACAATCAAGACTCTCAAAGAAAATGATTCCCATTTTCACTTAAGTATGGAAAATTCTTTTACTGTTTATATTCAAAAAAAGTTTGAAAATTTATGGCTATGGTGCCACAAAGAAAAAGTGTTCATTCATATTTTAGATATTAGAAAAGCAATCTAATGCTTGCCCTTACAGTCTCATGAAGTATTTAAAAAATAAATAATTACCAAAAAATTAATAAATTATTAAATTGCTAGAAGCTAAATTGAGACCAATAAAAAACAGAATGCCTACTGTATACTTTAATCATTAGGAAAGTCAGCTTCCCTTTGGGCAAATATTGCTGAAGTCATAATTCTCTCCTGACTTACATTTAAAGGCATTTCAGCAACATGACAATTTTCAAACAAAAATAAAAGCAAAGCTTGGACTGAAGGAAATTGGATGGGGAATCAAAAACTGAAGTCTTATTGCCAGTTCTCAGAATTATTCTCCATGGCTCCAGGCAAGTCATTTACAACTCTTCAGTTCTTTTACTCATTTCCTTGTGATGGAGCAGAAACCAAGAATGTCTCTAAGGAGAGTTCCTCCAGAAGCCAAACACTTTGAATATAAACAGTGCTGTTATCTGAGTCTGTTAAGAGCAAGAATGTCTTTGAGGGAGGAGACACAGGGCTCATCTATAGGAACTACATGTAAGAGACAAGCATGGCAAAAATAACATACCTTCAGGTTTTGGGGCCGTGTGAATTTGTTGAGAAGTGAAGTCTGAATGAGCTCCCATCGGCTCCCGGCAGTTCGCTCACCATTCTTTTAGGATAAAGAAAAAAATGTGAGGACCCAAACCATCTCTTAGAGACTAAATGAGAATCAGTTTTGTTCTCACCTCATCTTCCACAGGGTACAAGTTTTGTTCTGAACAAGGCATTTTAACATGCTTGTTGTCCCACAAATCTTTATAATGTGTTGGAAAAGGTTTAGGAACTTCCCCTGCTCGCAGAAGATCCACCTAAAACAGAGAATAAAGAAGAAAATTTTAAGTGCATAAAAACTAGGAATATCTTTTATGAAACTATCTAAAGAAAGCAGTCAATATAAATGCTATATAGTAGAGACCAACTCCTGCGCAAGAAATCTCCGAAGTCCTCTTCAAGCTGTTCTATCTCTTGCCTCCATTTAATCAGTTCCTAAATCACTGACATCTCTGCATCATATCTCCATCCCACCTAGGCCCAAGGCCCACATCAATCCTTGCCTGAATTACTGCCAATAACCTCTTATCCCTCCCCCTAACTCCAAGTACTCCCATTTATCCCCTACAAAACCCTTCTCCCTGCTTGGGAACATTAACTTTCTAAAGTACTCCCAGGTTTCTAATTCTTTAATGGCTCCCTCTAACACTATGTACAATTCCACAATTCCATAATGATTTCAAACGATATTCCCACTTTTTTAGCATACTCACTTACACAAACACTATTTACTCTAGACAAGCCAGCAGACTTATAATTTTTAAAACATAGTAAATTCACTTCTACACCTACATGTCTTTGTATATATTATTGTTTCTCTTTTCAATACCAGTTCTATTAATTACCACCTCCTCATTATCTCTTTATCTGGTTAAAAGGGATTCTGACCTTCACAGCTCAGTTCAATTTTCATTTCCTCTGCAAAGCTTTCAGAAACTTTTTATATGCAATTTTTTACTCTCTTATTAAATCCTTAGCACATTACAGCACACTTGTTTTTCATTCCCCAACTAGCCTCTAAACTTCTTGAGAAAAATAACTGTATTAACTTTGTATCGAGAAGTACAGCTGGAATGCGCCTTGGAAGCAAGAATGGCCAGACTTCGTCTCACCTATTGTGGATATGCTGTCAGAAGGGACCATTCCCTGGAGACGGTATCATGCTTGGTAAAGTGGAGGGGCTATAAAAAGGAGGAAGGCCTTCAATGAGATGGACTGACACATTGGCTGCAATACTGGGCTTAGTAAGCAAGGACTGTGAGGCTCATGAAGGACTGGGCAGTGTTTTGTTCTGTTATATACAGTGTCACTATAAGTCGGAGTCGACTTGAAGGCACCTAAAAAGAATAATAGGGAAGGTTTCCTTCAGGAAGTGGTAATTGAGCTGAGCTCCAAAGGATACAAAGAAATTAACTAGAAAAAGGAAGAAAGAAAAACTGTTCCTCAAAAGGGGAACAGCTTACATAAAACAGGCAATTTCATAAAAAGGTCTGCAACTTAAGAGAAATAAATATGTAAGTTATCTACATAAAAGTGACCATTAGAGTCAGAAGTGTGGATGAGGCCACCCAGAGAGACTGAAAAGAAAGGAGGACCTATAGAAACCCCTTGAAGAATTCTAACAACACTAACTAGAAGACTCTAAAAGAAACATAAAAATTGACTCTAAAAGAAACACCACAGAATTATTTGATGTCATGGATGATAATGGATGAGAGGCTGTTCCAAGGAAGAAAGAATGGTCAAGTAAAATGTGGCAGAATCATCAAGTATTTCCACCTTCATAAGGAGGTCCCAAAGGTGATTTTGTGAAAATGTTCCACGTAATCTAAGGCACCAGTCAAGCTTCACACAGGGAACACATATGTAAGAAGATATTTATATCCGGTAAGATGGTGGAATAGGCAGACGAACTACACAGATACTCTTCAACAAAGAAAAGAGGAACCAACTAACATAGATACAGAAGATAGTCCTGGAGCCCTGAGTTTTGAAAGGAAGGATACAGAAGTTGACTAAACTCCAACTAGTAGAAGAACCTGCATGAAGACAGTGAAGAAGGGACACGGGTGGAGCTGTGGACTATCAGCAATCCTGATGGCATGGATGGTTTGGATGTTTCTGGGTGGTCTTAGGACCTAGGGATTGACCTAGAGGTTGGCCCTGCTCACAGGGGACTGTATGGAGTACACTGGTGGCGATAAATAAAAAGGGAAATAGCAAAGAGGGACATGGACTGAATTGTGGACTTTTGGCTGTCCAGAAGGTGCAGCCATTTTTAATGTTTGCAAGCTGTTCAACCATTTTGGATATTTAAAACAAAATGACAGCGTTCTCTCAGGTTCCAGGGACATAAGAGTGGGCTCCACTTGCCGGGGACAGCATGGACAAACCAGACTGAGGACTGAAGAGGTGTGATATTCCCCTTGTTACTCTTATACCCACACCCCCTTGGTGAACAGAGATGCCACCACATCTCACCACCACTCACCTTCTGGGCCAGCAGGGATTCCATCCAAGTCTGTGTGCTCTGATGAAGCCTGGGTACCCTGCTCCATGCCCCACCCCCGAGATTCTTTTTTTTTTTTTTTTTTTTTCCAGTTTCTTTTTACTTTTAGTCTATATTTCCAGGATCTAGTGTTTGACTTTTTCTCTTTTCCCTTTTCCTGGTTCCCATTTTTTTTTTTTTTGTGGTTCTTTCCATCGCTTGTTTTTCTTTTTGCAATTTTTCTCCTTTTCTTCTTCATTATTCTCTTATTTTACCTCTCTTCTCTTATTCCTCCCCTTCCCAGAGACTGTATGTGTGTGGGGGGGTCTGTTTTTCTATTCTCTCATTACTGCCTTTCCTTTTTTTTTTTCTCTATTGGTGATTGTTCCTCTGTGTTTGTGAGGTGTGAGTTTTTTGCCCTCTTGCTTCTACTTTTTTGGTGGTTTTTGGATTTTTGTTTTGGTCTAATTGAGTGGGAGACAGAAACTGTGCCTGTACAACTCAGCCATGCCCGCACCTCCAGCAGCCCCGCTTACTGAGGGGCCACCACTGCCTTTTGTACCAACTGGTCAGTGGTGCGCAACCACAAATGCAAGCCTGACTCACCCTCAACTGCTATTACAAACAGTAAACAGGGATCTGTGCAGCCACTCTCATTCTCTATTATATCCACCGGGAGATAGGTGGTAAGTGCATAGGTGATGCCAACTAGAGAACAGAGGAACACACTACCCGGCTACTCAGATACATCCAAACAAAACAAAGAAAATGAAAATCTCAGGTGAATCACTCCAACATACAATCACCAACTAAATATAAAAACAACAACATCACAATGTCTTGGAGACAAGAGACCATCATAGCCCACACAAGAAAGAAAGATAAAGCAGTAGAAACGAGGGAGCAGGATAAATACCCAGAACACATTCTTGAGGAAGAAGCAGCACTAAAACTCACTGATAAGGAATTCAAAAGAATCATATTTAGGTACCTTCAATGAATTTAGAGACAAATCAAGGAAAACATTGAAAAACTGAGGAAAACACAGACAAAATCTTACATCAATTTCAGGAGAAAACGTTAAGAACAAAATGACAAAATAAATGAAAAATTAGAAATGATATAAAAAATACAAATAAAAATCCAAAAGATTAATACTAAATTTTCAGAAAACAGGTAACATATTGAAAGGGCAAATGAATAGAATCAAATCAGTGAGACTGAAGACAAACACCTCAATACTTCCTTGGAAAGGGATCAATCAGAAAAAAAATCAAGGGGACCAGGTTTGCTGGTCTGATAGAGCCTGGTGGAACCACTGAAACTATGGCCCCTAGCTGCCCTTCAGATCTGGAATTGAACCCACACCTGTGGTTTCCAGCCAAACAAAAGACAGGCACATGAATTGAACATTTACCTGAGGTAGATATACTCCTTGGAGAGAAGAATCATGGGAGAAAGAAGGCTGCTTATGCACAGGGAGACAGCTCAGGGGGCAGAAGTGCATGGAGAGATGGACACTGGGAAGACGTAACTATGTGGAGGAAGTGGGAGGGGAGCTGTTGCATTGGGGTAAATTGTGGTCGATGCCATGAGACAAAGTGTATCAAAGTGTATGTGCACTGCTGTATGGAAAGTGAATTTGCTCTGTAAATCTCCACCCAAATCACAATATAAATAAATAAATGAAGAAATGTAGAAATGAATAAAGATTAAGCTAAGATTATGAACCAATAAACTCTGAAAGTTCAGACTGGTTAAGTCGCACCCTCTGTGGAAAAAGTATTGAGAAATGGAACATAAAAGTATATGGACCCTGGCTAGAAAGAGAGCTTTTTGCTTGACTGTGCCATATTTTATATCACAAAAATATAATAATTATTATTTAACAATGTTGGAACTTTCTCAAAAACATGATCTATCTGGTATGCTCCAGTGTACCCAAATAATGGGATTAGAGAAGGGAAGGGAGAGGCTGCTCTCGTTTTCTGGATTGAAAAGACTTGGTCACTCTTGTCTCCTGCTTTTTGCCAAGCTGGCTTGGATTGACTTCCACTCCTGGATTCCTGGGTAAATACTTGGGTTGGAAGTCATTTTCCTCCTTGATTTGTCACAGGGTCTGGAGCAGACACAGACCTCTCCACAGTAATTCATGTCTGTGTGGCCTCTGCCTTGGATTACTGCGAAACATTCCCTTCCCCAAAAAAAGACAAAAAATCAAAACAGAATGAAGAAACCCTAGGATTCAGATGGGATTCTATCAAAAGGAACAACCTATGTGTAATCGGAATTCCAGAACAGGAAAAGAAAAATAAAATGACAGAGAAAATAGTGGAAGATTTTGTCGAAGAAAATTTCCCTGATATGATGAAAGAGGAGAATATATCCATTCAGGAAGTCCAACGAACCCCAAATAGGATAGACTTCAAAAGAAAATCACCAAGACATATCATCATCAAACTCACCAAAACCAAAGACAAAGAAAGAATACTGAAAGCAGGATGGGAAAAATGAAAAGTTACCTATAAAGGGCAACCAATAAGACTAAACCCTGATTTCTCAGCAAAAACCATGAATGTAAGAAGGCAATGGGATTGTATATATAAAACCCCGAAAGAGAAAAATATCCAACTAAGAATTAAATACCCAGCAGAACTGTCCCTCAAATATGATGGTGAAATTAGAGATTTAAAAATAAACAGAAATTAAAGGAATTTGTTAAAACCAGACCAACCTTACAAGAGATACTAAAGGAGTCCTTTGGACAGA